AGCTGCACTTGCTTGTGTAATACGGTGCCAATATTGTGCCAGTATTGAAGCTAGGGAGCATTTAAATTAAATGTAAATAGAGGAGAAGCTATTTAAAGTGGTTTGAGGAGTGAATTCTGCTGCTGTATATTTTCTGGATACTGGGCTCCCCCATTACAGTATGGGTTTCTCACTCTCTCTGTGTAAGATCAGAAACTAACCCTGGGGATTTTGTATTTGTTCAGTACACTACAGGCATTTGAAGTGATGAAATTGTTTAATGTACCATCCAAGTTAAATTCGAGCTGCAGGAGGGAAAGATTCACCTCTGGAAATGTCTTGTGCAAGAGCAGCTATTTAAAGCAAGGCTGTTTGTGCCTCTGCAGTGATCTGTGTCTTTACTGCTTTACATCTCCAGCATTCAGGGAAAATGCCCAGGTGTTTCTCCCTGGGGTTTCACTCCAGTTCCAGCAAAACTGTTTTGCAGTGTGAGACCAGGGTAGGGCAATAGCCTGAGCCTCCTGATGCCATCACTGCCCTCCTGGGTCTGTCAGGACACGCTGGCTGCAGCTGTATTTTCTCTCTCTCTCACACAGGGATAGGCTGCCATCCCTGCTGATGCAGGATGATAAATAGGGAGCTGCCTTGAGCGACAAGGAAGTTACAAAGAAGCCCAGCAACACAATTAATTAGGCTGAAATCACTGGAGAAAGGATCCTTGATTTGGGGCATAGCTGGAATGGATCTCTAAAAATGCTTTGTTTCCATTCTTGCCACTAACTACTAAGCTCCTTTTTTATTCTATCATAGGTTTTGTTCACTCATTGAAGGGAGTTCTGGAGAAAAGCTGTAGAAGAAGCATCCCCACACTGTTACTTTTTTAGAGCAAAACTGGGCTTGCCAGTCTCAGGAGGAAAGCAAAACCACTTCTGTTGGAGGAGAAAGGTTTCTAGCTGACACAGATGACAAAGTTTTGGCAACTGTTTCAATCCCAGAGTCCTTGAAAATCTGTTACTTACCCCAACAGAGCTTTAAAAAATTTGTTATCAGTGCTTCTTTCCTTGGCTTTTCACATTCAGGACCTTGACATTGCATATTCTTATCAGAAGCTGCTGCAAATTAATTTTGTGCACTTTGCAAGGAAAAATAACTGGCCAAATACTGCTGCTCTAAGTGGCATTCTCTGTAACAAAGCTTCCTTTTTGCTTTCAAAAAGGAAATAAAATGCTTTGAAGAGGCATTATAAGACCACACAGCACCACATAGCCTCTTAGAATACAAAACCCTTTTGTGCACCAAGCTTGCCTATCAGAATGACCAAGCTTGGGAGGGGTAGTGCTTATATGAGAATATGAGTGCTTCATAAGGGACTGCAGGGAGATTTACTGCTGCTGTGCTTTGTCCTGTTAGGTACTACTCAGACAAATGCTTGGCTTAGTTTGAGGGAATTTTATACATCACTGCATAGCAGCTTTCATCTGAACTGCTGTGTGTGAATGTCAGTGGGCAGACAGCAGCAATTTGCTCAACTCCAGCTCAGACCTACTGGTCCTTCCTGCAATCGCACCTAGAGACAACATTTTCACCTCTTGTTTTGTGTTGGCATTGCTGCTGGGGCTGCTGAGTGCCATGCCAGCTCCTCCTGTGCAGACAGGACTGGCTCTGGTGTTCCCCAAAGGACAGGGAGGCAGATGCTGGAATGGGCTGCACACCCCAGAACAGTGCCAGTGAGCAGCAAGGCCAAAGTTCACCAGACCCCCAACCACCAGGAACAGCTTGATGAAATTCAGAGTTATTGCACCCACAGATTAAAAACATAATTGAGCAGCATTTGAAAAGTTTACCAAGCTGTGTCAAGGCATAGACATTTTTTAACTATGTTGATGTCTTTCTTCTCTTTGATTTACTGTAAAATGAAGCCACCACAATCTGGTATTTTGCTGTAGAATGGACTGCATTACTGAGAGCATCATTTTAGAAAATCAGAGCTTGTACATTTTGATGAATGTTGGAGAAATGCTGTTCCTGGACTAAGTGGATAGCTTAATATATGTGCAATGCCCCATGTCCCATTCCAGCCTGGCCCAGGAACAGCTGCTCCTCTGATTTTACTGGTGCCTGCTGTGACAGATACTTTGGGGCAATGACTGGCAGGCGTTAGAGAATGTATTTTCTTAGCCTTTTCACAAGGGGAAAAATGGATTGGGAGGGAGTGTAGTGGAGATGAGAAGACACAAAGAGAAATAGTGAAGGGAAAATTCCCAGCAGCATTAGGAAAAAACTGTATCATGGTATTGGAATGAGTGTGGAAGTTTTGTAGGATAAAAGGTACTTTTACAGAGGGCAATGCTGTTTAATTATGGAATGAGGTACACTGATTTTGCTATCAATCAGGGTATCCAGAATTAAGAAAGGAAAAACAGATCTATTTGTCCAGAAAGAATTTTAATTCAGGAAAGGGGTTTCTGAAGTCTGGTCTGTTGCCCAGACCTATGAGAATTGAAGCAGGGAAAAGCAAAAGCAGCAAAAGAGTACTCATTATTTAGCTGGACCTTTTAATTTCTAAATATAGACTAATTGTGACCAAACACACACACACACACACACACACACACACTCAATTCTATGTTTCTTCTCACATCATGCTGGCAGCTCTGGAAGAGAGGCTGGACTTTGAAATGTAGTTTTACTCAAGGAAAACTTCTGCCCTTCAGTGTGGGAGGCACTGTTCCCTCCTGGAAACATTTCCCTCTCTTCTAGTTATATATTGACAAGAGGGGAAAATATTTAAACAATTAACTTGTGGACATCTGTCCTGTATTGGACTCCAAATAAACACAATTTCTCATAGTGGAGAAGAGCTGTAAGACACTTTTATCCTGGTATGAAGAAAACCACCTTAAGAGGCCTCAATGTCTCTGTGTCTTCAAACCTGACAAAGGAAATCTCCTATTTCAGTAATACCAAAATTCTTCCAGTAGAATGGAGAAGGTGATTGTAAACATTTCTGACATTATCTCCAAGATCAAAAAGGCTTCTTGCAGTAGTCTTTGCCATATTCGACAGCACATGATTTGGGCAATTATCTAGAAACAAACATTTAGTCTCCTTTTCCCTTTAGTTTTAGGAAGAACTCTATTTCCTCAGGTGAAATTGATGAGTGACTCATATATTTAAAGGCAGGAGAAATTTGCATTGTATGCCAAAGAAAAATGTTTATGTTTGGATCCATTTTGTAGATAAACTACCCTTGTAAGTAGGCTGATTCTCTGTCCCATCCTCCAGGGATGCTGGGAAGCAGCAAGGTTTGATTAGTCCTTAAACTGCATGTTTACAATCTTTGAGGACAGCTTTTTGTAAGATTTAACCTTGCTTGAATGTGTATCAGACATCAACTACACAAAGCAGAACAGGGTGCAGACAATTGGGCGTGAAACTTTGGTATGCATTGGCTTAGGCCTAACTCAGATCACAGAAAACTTTCAATGTCTTGGAAAAACTGGGCTTGTTCAATAGCCTCTTATCCTGATTGAACCCTGTGACCTCTCACTTTAGGTTCACTCACTAAATATCATTGTTTTTCACTCAGAAAATGCTTTCTTGCAGCCTTTCACGGAGATACACGTGCTGTCTCTGCAGCTCCAGGTAGTTGGTCATGGCAGCACAATGGCATGGCAGGGTACAGATCTCATGTGCAGCTCTTATTTTATGATTCTGTGACATCTTCCTACAAGTCAAATTAAAGGCAACCTCAGGAGATCTCTGTGCCAGCCTCTTCTCACAGCAGTGTCAGAGACATTGCTCTGGACCTTGCTGAGGCAGGCTCTGAATATCTCTAACAATGGAGGTTTCACAAACCCTATGTTGCAGTGTCTGACTGCCCTCATGGTGGTTCTCCCCCCCACTGATTTCTGCCTGGAATTTTCCTCATTGCAACTTGTGCCCATTGCCTTTCACCCTGCACACATCCAAGAATTTGGCCTGGATCTTCTCCAAATGAGTAGTGAAAGGCAGTGATGTGATCCCCCCTCCCCCTGCCTTTAGCCTTCGTGGGACTGAGCACTCCCAGTTGTCTCATTCTCTTCTTGTACATCCTTGAAATCCATCAATGTGTGTGATGTGCTGTAATTCCCAAGTCTTATCTGCCGGGCTGTCAGTCTGCTGACAAGGTTTATTGTTACTGGAACAGAGAGGAAGGCCTCCATGTGAAGGCCTCTGGAAGATCACTGCAGACACTGTTATCTCTGAGAGAAACCAAAGTCTAAACAGAGCAAGCCAACAGGGTTAGCTTCTTCCTTCTGCCCTCTTTGAGCAGATTTAAAGTGGGAATTATGCAAAAGGTCACCTTTTTGTAGCATGGCTCCCCCTGCACATGCCAGGGAAATGGGTATCAGGGTATCTGCTGGCTCCAAAGCAGGGGGAGGCAGGAGGCTGCACCACTGGAAAAAAGAGCTGGCTCTTTCCCCACAAATGGCACTCTGCTCCACCCCTTCCCTCCTTTGCATTTAGAAGCAGTGGGCAAGGACTGCCCCCACTTGCAAAGGGCAGCTGGGGTGCCTGGCAGCTGATTCACCTTACTTCTATATCTTTTATGAATACATCCAGGAAAAGCCAAGTCTGTGGAAGATAGCAGTAACAACACTTACTGTCCCAGAGCAGGAGAGGTATGTTGATCAGGTTACAGTGAGACTTGGCATGATAAGTGGAAAAAGCAAGGCACAGGGTTTTCCATGTCTGGCTGTCCAGTGTAGCAGAACTTCGGAGGAAGACCCAACACAGGTAATGCTGTGGAACAGCCAGTTTAAAGAAAATGCATTTAGACAAGTAACAATTACCCAAACTGTTATGGAATTCATTCAGTAAGAGCAGAGAACAGCCTTTGCTAACAGAGCCTTTCCTAATCTCTTCAGAAGTGTCCAGAAGGCCTTATCAGATACTTATTGCACCTCCTTTTTCATCTTCAGTCTGGCTGGGACCTTAGCTTCAGCTGCCTCTGTTTGGTGGGCATAGCAGGAGGCTGATCACAGCTTTGAGAACTGAACCAGGTGCTGGCCAATCTCTGAGACGCTGGCACAGCCTGCAATAAATGAAACACTGGTGAGAGAGAAAGGTCTGTGGCTGAAGCTTGGAAGCCCCCCTGCTCTGAACCCCAGTCTTGTACGAGCCAGGCTGAAATAGGTTGGTACTTCAATATCTCCACTCCTCAGCGGCATCTTCAGCTTTGAGGTTCAGCACTGGAGTCCCCTCACAAGAAGAGTCAGAAAGATGAAAAAAAAAATTTTTATAACAAGCTGAGCAGGGTGCAACCTGATCCAGTAAAGTCAGAAGAAAAACACAGAGAAAAGACAGGGGTTGCTGTGTGCCAAATGGCCAGAGGTGAAGATTTGCATTGCCATTTAATTTGGACAAATATGGGTGGAATAGGGATGCTGACTGATAGCTGGCTGAACATGAGCCAGCTGTGTACCCAGGTCTGGTACAGGCATCCTGGCCTGTGTCAGCAGTGGTGTGGACAGCAGGACCAGGCCAGTGGTTGTCCCCCTGTGCAGGGCACTGGTGAGGCTGCACCTTGAATCCTCTGTTCTGGCGAGGTCTAAATTGGATATTAGGAAGAATTTCTTCACAGGAATTGTTATCAAGCACTGGAATAGGCTGCCAAGGAAGTGGTTGAGTCACCAGTTCTGAATGTGTTTAAAAGACACATAGATATGGCACTAAGGGACATGTTTTCATGGTGGAATTGGCTGTGTTGGGTCAACAGTTGGACTTGATGATCTAAAAATATCTTTTCCAACCTAAAAGATTGTATCATTCAATGAATTTCACAGCCTCAGCAAAAGGATCCCAACCTGCTGCTCTTGCTGAATCCTGTGCCCTTGTTCATGAAAAGAACTGTAAAAGTCTGCTAGGGAAAAAACCCAGGAATCTTTACTAGTTGAGAAGGTAACCCATAAAACCACACTATGGCCAGAGGGATTTCAGCTCCAGTCTCCCAGTCAGTGTTGCTATCCGCTTGAGTTCTATGTGTCATAATATAAAGAATATCCTGTATTGGAAGGAACCCACAAGGATCGTCCTGTCCAACTCCTGGCCCTGCAAAGGACACCCCAAGAATCACACCATGTGCCTGAGAGCACTGTCCAAATGCTACTGGAACTCTGTCAGGCTTGGTGCTTTGACCACTGCCCTGGGCAGCCTGTTCCAGTGCCATAACCGTCTTGTCCAAGAGTAAAACTGGAGCTTGCACTGGGCTCTGCAAATTTGCTATTTGGTGAGAGGCTCAAAGAGGGCAGCTACAGCTGGGAGCAGGAGTGAGAAAAACAGAGCGAGAGTAAAGGGAGGAGACACAAAAGCTTTTAAAACATGTGTAACCACCTACAGACTGTATTCTCTAAGACACAGAGAAAAATTCTGCATCCATTTTTAATGAGCTCTTCCTGCAGAAAAAGATCAGTGCATTTCACCTTGATAAACACTAAATACTGAAAGACTGATGCTGTCATTCCCAGGAGAACAGAAATTCCAAGTTTTGCTTGGCTGTACTTCGGAGTTTTGCATCTGTTTACTTGGGTCACAAAGCTGCTCTAACCTACTCCCTCTGTGCAAACTTCATTGCTGTGACAGCTGGAATGCCAAGTGGTTTCACAGGAAGCAGAGAATCTCAAGTATAGCAGCTAGAACCATCACAGCTCCTGTGGATTCCCTTTTTGTCACCTATCCATCACACTCCTGATTTTATAGGGCTTGCATGAAGAAATATCTATAACACCCATTACTAACAAAATACTTACCAGCTAAGGCCATAGACAAACGAAACTCATCCTGAAGGATTCTCAAGACATCCTGAAGACCTTCTTCACCCTGCACCAACAGATAAAGCAGTCAGGGTAAAAGGAGCGCTGGCACAGAGCAGTGCTGCAGGATGCCTGCACCCTGAGAGCTGGGATAGTCCCTTAAATCCATGCCAATTCCAGTCTTTCATGCAGATGAATGATTAAAATGATATGATGGATGTGCTCAGTTCATCACAGATTAATTTAGATGCTTTTCCTTTTGGGATACATCTGACCAGGGAAAGAAAACAAAGCTGTTTTTCACTTCTGACATTTTGTAGCTGGTTCTTTTTTTTTTAGCTTTCAGTTTTCCCCCACCAATGGGCTTGCTATTTAAAATGTCAAGCCTTACAATGCTGACAGGTTTTAACAAAGTAATGAGTTTTATATATGTTACCACTCCAGAAACTGTAGTTTACTCAAATACTAGACTGAATCTTTAAAAATAATAGACTATGTGTTTTCCTCTGTGTAAGTGACACCAAGAAGCTCAAAAGCCAATAAAATGCATAGAAGATTTTGATCTTCCTATGAAATACTGGAGAATTAATTTTTTTCTCTTGAATTTTCTTTTTATGTCTTGCAATAATGAATGCTTTGGGTGCACTCAATGTTAGCACTTGTTTATGCCCTTCCTCTGTTGTATGCTTTGGTAATGCCACTGAGATACATCTTTAGGAATACTCTGTGGAATACAACACCAAAGCACAATTGAACCCCCCAAAATCCCATCTCCTTTCTGTTTCCATTGTGGAGAAAGTGCAGGCAACTCACAGGAACACCTTTTTCATCTTAGGCCCTTTGTTGATATTTACTGGCCGAAAAAACAGTACTGCCAGCTCTTACAGTTTTTTTTTCAGGAGATTCAGGTGATTTCTTGATCAAAGCCTTGCTACTGGAACCCACAGCAATCACACCACTGGACAAGAGTGCCATTTAAGAGAAAGGAAATGTGTCTAGACCACACAAAAAAAGTATCTTTTCTTCTAGAGAAAAGTTTTGGAAGACTCCATCCAGAGTGTAAAAAGCAAAAAATTAGCCAAAAAACCCCAACTGGTATAATAATATTATTTTAATTTTGATTATATTATGTTAATCTCCTGCATCAGAGGCCTAATTCATGACTCTGGATCATAGAAATATGCCTGGAGTTGAGAAGCAGCAAAGCTGGAACTGAAATAGCAGTGGAAAACCCAGGCCACAGTGGAAAATCTCCAGGACACAATTTTGTTCAGCCTGGTCCAAAATGTTTCAGCCATCCGTGGGATGGAGCTCTATATGTATTTCTGAAGAATTCACAGCACTGCTGTGAAACTGTTCTACCAAAACCATGTATTGTTCCCAGCTATTTGCTGAAAGCAAATAAAATTGTCAGACTAATCTTTCTGGCAAATAAGCCAGCTCCAGTTTGCAAAAACACCAAGTCCTAAAGTATTTTAGCACCAAACTGCAACATCAAGAAATCAGGTCCCACAAAACAATGCCTTCAAAATCCCATTGTCCAAAATCCCAGGAAATTGCCAAATTCAGTGATATTTTTAAATCAGAGGAAATGTCGGAGTTTCATTCAATTTGGGGTGATTCCACTTCAAATTCAGCAAAATAAAATTAAATAATATATTCTCCACCCGTGACAACTGTGTGACTTCAGTTGCAGGACTGCTGGAGAGTGTGAGAAGCAGGCATGTGGACTCAGAGCTCCTTACTCACCTTGTAAGCCAGGCCCCACAAAGCTGGTCTTCCAATAAAGACACATTTTGCTCCCAGTGCCAGTGCTTTTAGCACGTCACTGCCTTTTCGTATCCCTCCATCAACATAAACTTCCACTCTGCCTCGTACTGCCTCCACAACCTCAACCAGAGCATCAATCTGCAAAGAAGAAGCCAGTCTCACCTTGAGGGCAGCTTTTGATTCCCAGAGAAGGAGAATATATTCCAAAGACACAGGTGAGGATACAGTGCTTTAGTAGGATACCCTCTCAAAATGGAACGTGACAATGCATCACAAATAGCTCAGCACCAGGAGCTGCAGAATAACAAACATGCAGATCCCTGCTCTGCTTTCCAGACAATGCCATTTTCCAGTGCTTTGCATATACTGATATTCTTTGCTATCACTTTTGATTAGTGAAAAAGCAACATTTTCAATAGATTTATGAGAGATTTTAAAATATAAATTTCAATGGGAATAACTGTCATCAGTATTTTACTTTTATTTGAGACAATGATGAATAATACAGCTGTTTCCAAGAAAGGCTGATGTCAGACTTCTACTCAAACTACCTAAGCTTACATTTCAGCTTAATCCTGGTGACCACTTGTTGAGTGCCTCCCTCTAAAGCATCTGTGAAGGGTTTCATTTGCTATGTAGTACAGTCAATAATTTCCTCCAGGTTAGGTCTCCCTATTCCCTAAGGTCTTTTCCGTAGAGTTCAGCGTGGAATAAGCCTCAGATGTTATTGCAGGGCAGCACCACGCACAGATGCTGGCTCTGGCCCCAAAGGCAGTACAGCCAGGGGCAGGACAAGGCACTGGACATAATTAACTCTCCTTCAGAGCAATCCCAAAAGGCTCTTTTCTGCAATGTCTTATACCTTTTTGCCTTCCTTTAATTTTTTTTTTTCTGAATTTCAAACTGAAAACCTTCAGGCTGAAATTTTCTAGGACTAACTCAGCAAGAGCCAGGCTTGGCACTAGAAAAATAGCAGAGCCCAACTAGGTATCTACTGCCTTGTCTGTGTATGTAAAACAACTTTTAAGGTAGAACAACAGTTTAATGTGGATGCCATTTCTGTTATTATGCCTTTAGCATTGAGTTTATTAATTTTTTTTTATTCATTATTGTCAGCCTTGACGCAGAATAGAACAGAATTCCCTGGTACCTATTTTTATTTAACAAAAGAAAACCGAGAAAAGAAAGTTCGTAAGATACTGTGCAATGCAGAACTGTAAAATAAGAGCAATTGGAAAAACTGACAGAAGCCAAATTAATCCAGTGAAATACACACATGTCTAAACAATGCATGATTTCTTTGTACAAATTTAAAAGCAGGGGAATTTTTCTCCAGATAAGTTATCCTTTTTCTGGCTCGTGTAAGTCAATAAATTCCCATTTAGACTTGAGCCTGTAAATACGCAAGCAGACCTCTCACTAAATCTAGCTGCATTGTTTTGCATGTTTTGACAGATGTGAACAATGAGAATACATTATGCTCTCATTTGTACAATTTTGGTTCCAGAGCTTTGTTTTCTTTTTGCTGCAGTGCGCAAAGAGTTTGAGTGTGCTGCACCAGCTCATGGAGACACAGGCAGGAACTCTCCCTGGCTTAGGCCAGGAGTTTACCTGCACTTAAGTGAAGAAGTTTGGCATGGGGGCTATCCACTGAAGTATTTCCTCCCAAGAAGCTGAGGAAATACTTCAGTGGACAGCCCCCATGCCAAGGTGTGGATCTCGCCAGTTTAAAGCTAAAGTATATCTGCACACATCCATGGCCACTGGACAAACTCAAGTCCACCAGAAGTGTACACACAAACCTGGGCATAGAGACACCCAGGTTAATGCAAACATGCAGACCGTAAACGGGGAAAATGTGGGACATCCATTTTCATCTATTCTCACTTACAGTGGCAGGTCCTTCATCCAGTTGCCTTCCACCATGGTTGGACACAATAATTCCCTGAACTCCATGTTTCACTGCCACCTCTGCATCTTCTCTTGTCAAGATGCCTTTGATGATGATGGGCAGGCGTGTCAGGCTCCGCAGCCAGTAGATGTCATTCCAGGTGACCGAAGGATCCAAGCTGTTGGGTGGCAGTCCGTACTCAGAGCAGTCATCTTCCTACAGCCACAATGAAACAGCAAAAGGAAAACTCATCAAGGCTGCAACAATACACAGGTCTCTTGGTGTCTTTCCTTGCCCTAGAACAGATTAATCAAACTTGCCAACAGACATGTTCATCAGCTCCAGAAATGTCACGTGTCTCTGGAGGAGAATAATTACAATGGGGGTGGAGATCGTGTCTCTGAGGCAGCTGGGTGGGGATTTTGAAGACAGAACCCAGTCCAGGAAGAGGTCAAGCCAGGATGCTGCAGAACCAGCAGGGGAGAAGATAGACCCTGGTACAGCAAATGCCAGGGCAGCAGTTACCCAGTGGTTTTTCTCTCATGTGGTACATGCCAGCGCAGTGAATGAAAGGACAGGCTCATTTTACAAACCTCAAAGGCTCCTTCCAAGTTCTTCACTTTCATGTGGGGAGGAAGGCGGAAACCATTGCGGACATCGTCGCGTCTCTTGCCCGTGTAGGGCAGATCCGCAGTGAGGACGAGGCCCTGGAAGCCCAAGGCCTCTGCCCGCCGGACCAGGTGCTGGGAAGCTGCCCTGTTGCGGTGGATGTAGAGCTGGAACCAGCGGAGGCCGCCGGGCGCAGCCGCGGAGATCTCCTCCAGCGTGCAGGTGGAGTAGGTGCTGGCGATGTAGCAGGTGTCCATTGCTCTGGCCGCTTGGGGGGCATTGGGAAGGAGTCAGAAACAAAGGGCATCTGAAGGATCTTGCCAAACATCAGACACAAAACCATGCACTGTTTGCAGAGACCACCCCAACTCCTGATTTCACGTGTATCTTACAAAGCACAGGGCAGCTATGTCCTGGGATTAGCAATGACTGTATTTACTATGCGCTCTTGTTAGTCCATGGTTAAGAAAGCAGAAAAGGGAGAGGTAATTAACCAAGCTGTGCTTTCATTTTGCATCTGCATTTTTTAAAAAGCATGAATTTTATCTTTATGACTGAGTCCTCTCAGGGATGTACTGTTGGATCTACTCAGTGTACACAGAAGAAAAAAACATTTTTAGGGGTCAGGTCTCCAAACTCTCCACAGGATTTGTTGGATATCTTTTTGTCCAAGGGAGACATTTCTTAACAAGTAACAAGGAGTTCACAGTCTGAGTCCCATCCACCACTTTTACAACCCACCTAGAGCTCCCAGGACCGAAAACCTTATGTGGTTTTTGGTATGAGTCAGAAATGTGTCCACTGCCCTTGTCTTTAATTTGCAGCAGGCTCCATGGGGTTGATTTTTTATGTTGGTAGCTGGAGAAGAAGGGCACCATCTATACAGCTTCCTATGCAGGGTGTCAGAAAGTGGGAATGGAGTTTGCCCCCTCATGCCTGAAAATTTTTCTCAGTCACACTTCAAGTCATCCTAACAGCTTCTTGATGCTTTTCTATAACCCCCTTTGGTGCTACATGGCACCAGAACAGAAGAGTACCTCTGGCTGTGCTTTTCTCTCCATCAGGCCATGCTAGCTGGTGGAAGCCTGTAGGGGCAATTCCTACAGGAAAGCTGATTTCAGAACCCAGGATTTTAGTCCGAATGTCCATCACAGATACGTCCCGCAGCATACGTGGCCGGAAACGAATTCTGTAAGGCAAAAAAACCCCTTCAGGATAGCAGATGTTCAGTGAGTTTTCTGAAATTTCATGGAAACCACGTCTTGGTTTACCACATAATTTCTGCATCTCCTGCCTCAGGTCACCGTGTCTTGTTCTCCCACTGTCCTCCCCCAGATTCCTTTTACTTGCAGGCAGGCTGGGTCCTTCCAGCTCACCATTCATGTGTCTGTCCTCACTGTGCAGTGTGCCTGCCCTCAGGTTCTGCAGCATGTTCCCCAAATCCCACCCTACTTGCACATAGGCTTCCTGCTGTTCACCAAGAGCTCCCTTTTGCAACTCATTATATTAGAGCTGCTCATCCCCTTTCCTGTAATGCCACACGCTCCATAGCACACTGTACCTTACCCTACCCTACCCCAGCACCTGCCTGTACCCTCAGCATCCCTAAAGCTTCATACAACCTGTGTCATACTCAGTGTGGCATCAGAGCATATAGTGCTCAGATTTTGCATTTAGCTTGGGGACCTCCTGGAAAGGACAAGGTTTTAAGTTCCTTTGCTTGTCAAGTCCAAATACTTGCACAAAAACAGTTTAAGAGGTCCCAGTACGACTCCCTTCATTCCCTTCTCACATTACCTTTTATATGCCAGGATGTTTTCATCTCGTGTGGTACAGTCATCTGCTCCAGCTGCAAAATAATCCCAAACAATCTTGGGCAAATACTTCTTAGCATAAGCTTCGAAGTCAGAAAGACACACCATAGACATTGCTGAGAGAGGTGTAAGGAACCTTGAAGAAAAGAATAACATGGAGCAGAAATTAGATCCCTGAACTGTCATTCTCTCTTCCAGGAGCTCTAATGTCACTGAATGCAAAACTTGGAGCCATCTGTTTTATAGAAGAGCTGCTGAGTTGTCTCAGTCTGTCTTGCACATTGGTCTACAAATCCTCTACCCTAGTATGAGGAAAAATTGCAGATGCAGCCATGAGAGCAGGAGGAAGCTTGCATCTCTGTGCTTCTCTTCATTCTGTTTTAAACAGCAGCCTGAAGAGGACATTTTAGGTCCTCTGCTATTTCAATTGTGTAATTCTGTCATAAGTTCCATCTTAAAACAAGCTGCATTATTTGTTCCACTAATTCTGCTCAAAGGTTGTCCCAGAACATAATTTGTCAGATTACCCCTAAGGACAGCACCGTGACTGAACAATTAGTTATGGAGCACAGGGATGGAATTCAAGATCACGGAATCTGGAAACAAGTAAATACAGAGTCTACATGTAACCTGCTCCAGGATGAACACACTGTAAAACTATGTCCAGACCCTGAGAGTAAGTCACTGTAGAGGCCAGTGCTGTGGAAAAAAACCCCATTTTCTACAGATCTTCCTTTCTCTTCTGTAACAAATACCTTCTGGGTGTTTGTATTACATGCTGGAGCACTGATATATACTATAAAAGGAACATACAGAATTTGGACAAACCATGAGAAAACACTGGCAAAAAACAAATTCCACAGTATGAAACATGTTTCTGAGAACTAACCTCAGCCTTTCAGGGAATGGAAGTAAAGTTGTGTGACCCAGATGTCTAATCAAACCAACATAAATGCTGCCCAGAAAATGCCTGCACTTACATACTTTTGAAGAAGCAAGAACTGAAAGCTATGCAAATGAATGTTTTAGCAAACCATGCCCGTGTGTGCAGAAACATGTACAAAACACAGACAAAGTCAATTTTCTAAATTGTTTGTTGCAATTACTTCTGCGGTCCTGATTAAAATAAGTATTTAGCAAGATATGTGGAAACATGAAATTTTAAAACAGCTGTGGCTCGGTCTGACTTCTCTAAAAAATATACAGGAAGAAGTAAATATCCTAATGTTCAGGATTCACCTCCCACCCCAGATTAGCAAGGGTTGAAAGCTTCACCCAAATCAGCCCCACGTGTCCCATGTTGGTCACTTTTGGCACAGATAAACACACAGGTTCTGTACACAGACACAACCTGTCAAACTGCAGGCACCCTGCTTCTCACTGACTGAAGTACCCATGTTTGCATCTGAGAATTAGCACTCACAATTCTCTGCTAGTAAAGAGCCCAGGATGAGGAACTCATTGGAAGAAGAAGAAGAAATGCAACTGATTTCTTCACTATTGTTCTGTCTGCTCTGACAGGCATCAGGTAGGAGGGGGTGCAAGTATCCCAAGCATGCTTTCTCTGACTTTGAGAATTATGCTGATAGCACAAGTCTTCATAAATGTACTGTGACATTCTTTAAACATCTATCACAACTTCTGCTTTTCTAACTTTTAGGAAGGTCAACATCATCAAGCACGATAAGATAAACCAAGTCCTCTCATGGCAGAATAAACAGGAATTTTAAGCAACCCAGGCCCAGTCCTGTCTTCCAAGTCAGACCTCAGTTCAGACTTACTTTGGGTTTCAGGGAAAGCTGCAGGGGGTGAGAGCCTCTCCTTCAAGTTTGCCTGCAAACAGGATTTTGAGGTCTTTTCACTGAGTAGCTTCTGTTTCTTCTGCAGTCAATAAGCAACCAACAGAGATTAAAGCTCAATCCTGTGGTAAACTTTGTACTGTTTGTATAACACTAACTTTGTTTTGCTATCAGGAGATTAAAAATCCCTCCTAAAAAATGGATCACCTTGTCAGCATTGTGATTGCTTGGGACAGAGCCCTGTAGCTGAGCTCCTTGGCAGTGGCTGATGGCTCTGCATTCACTTAATCAAGCAACAGTATTTCAGGGGGTTTAATGAATCTCTAAACTGTTGGTAACTTGTTGCTTCATCCTCCCAAAATGATGATTCACAGACAGTGTGAGTAGTTACAACTCCCAGCTACAAAGCCTGGATAATTTACTAGCATGTGGGAGATGCTTTTTGCTTCCTGCAGTGTATAAACAACTAAAATTCTCTTTCTCTTCTGCCATTTTTAATGGCCTGCAAGTGCTCTCATCAGGACAGAGGTAACAAAATTATATTGATTTAAATTTCTATTAATTTATTAAATTTCTATCAATTTATGATATTGATTTAAATTTCTAAGATGTGAAAAATAAACACTGGACAGTTTCATTTGGCTTTTAGATTCATTTAGCCTTTAGGGTTCATGCTTTCAATATTTCTAGTGCAAGTATGAGAGCCTGAAGTTTTGATTTTTTGCTGACTGAGAAATGAGATATTACAGTGGCAGGTGCAGAGGACAACTCAGAAACTTGTTAAAACTTTCCCAAAATATTGTTGGCCTCCCAGCTCAAGGAGCCCAGATGGGGGAGTGAATGAATTACTGTGGTGGGAAAAGCTGGAAGCTAAACAGAGCTGCAGCCTCATGAGCTAGCATTGAACTGGCTGGTCTGGTCCAGGAGAGCAGACCTGGCATTTGTGACAGCAGAAATTGTAGGTCACTGACTCCATCTGTGCAGCTGTAGTGAACACCTCTTCTTCCTGTTAGATGCACTCACGAGACCCTGCCCAAATTCAGCCAAATATGGTTGTCTCTACTACTGCCTTTTGAAACTTTAAATTCAGCCTTCAGAGCTCATTATCTGCTGACAGCACTGTGGAACCAGTTTCTGGCATGGATAGCTGTGGATACAGGTGTTATGAACTAGATGAGTTGTGCACATTTAGCTGAAATGCCCACAAGTGCCTTGGTTTGCTTCCCTTCCCAGCACAAGCCGTGGGGCAGACAGCCTTCAGGTCTCTTCTGAAAAGAGCAATGTGTGTGCTCACAGCCCAGTGCATCCCTGGGAAGGCAAAGAAAATCCTGCCCTCGTTCTTCCTCCACTAGATGTCAGGTTTGGGTCATATATTTCAATCTAGGTTGGTAAAAGCAATAAAAAGAATGCAGTACTTGCTGGCCTGCACTGCAAGGCACTATGGCCTTAAAACTGCTACAATCACACCACCAGAGTACTGCTAATATGTTTGGAAATCTTCAGTCCCTGTGCCTTATTTTTAACATTTTCTGGTGCACAGCACAGCAATAAATGTAGCTACATCTGGTCTGGCATGATCTTTGGTTCAGCCTACAAGTCATCTGCAGGGTCCTCTGTCATATTTCTCATTCTGCTGATCTCAGTACTTCCCTACTTTAGGGATGCACATTGCAGCCAATTCAGCAAACCATAGAGTTTATGCTTTCATGATTATCATAATTTTACATGAATTAAAAATAGTCTGTGACTACTGTCTTTTGGATCAGAAAAGGGAAAAAATCTCTGTGTTTATGCTGTGGCTTTTAAGAGGCTGTACTTTGCATCTAGATATATTTTCTTCTTTCAGCAATGGATTCAATTCAAAGTAGCAGTGACTTGTTGTTCCAGAAGTGGTAGTTTCTCTGATAGCAGTATACTCCTGATTTAGCTGTGAAGCTGTAATCTGAGGAAACCAGAATTTGCCACAGAGATAATATATTTTATTATAACCCCTGTATATACTTGAAAAAGGGGGACAAGTTTTAAAATCCCAGAGCCTTTTCATTGGAGTATAGTAAAAACCTTACAAAGACTCTCTAAAAACTTTGCTGGAAACCTAGCTATCATCTTTTTAAAACTAGAGAAAATAGTATAGGAAATAATTACACACATCTGGTCCACCCTTGCAGGTAGAATGTCAAGCAGTCAACAGGCAAAGCTTGATTTTTTCACAGATCTCTGTAGCTGGGCTTTTGCAGCTGCTTACTTTTCAGTGCTAACATAGTCAAAGGCTCATGAGTCCAAACACAAAGATCCTCTGTAAATCTGTGCTCCAGTTCCTATTACAGTCACAATGTTCCTTCCTCCAGCTGGTTGTTTGTTTGCTTTTCACAGATGGCAAATCACGGTGGGTCAAGCTGACACCTCTCTCCCTGATGCATCCACTAGTGCTCAGCGACTTTAAAACACTTTGGTGAAGAATCTGGTGAACTCCAAGCAATGTGAATAATTCAGATCACATAACAGTTTGCACTCAGTCACCACTGTTTCTCCTTATCAGATGTCTTTCTTGGGCATATGCCTCATGTGCAGAAGGTCAGTTATGCAAGAAAGTTTTTCCCAAATTGAATACTTCAATAGCCATCCCTCTGTTGCAGGTAGAGAGGGCAACAAATCTTATATTTAACATTGCCTAACAGTTTTGATCATAAGATCTGTTTTTCAGTTGCTTTTAATTTTTTCATATTTTAATCATTCTAGGCTGAAATTTTCCATCCTTGTTCTCTGTGTTAGGCTGAACTTTTATTTTGGGAACATTTCACTGAAAGTTGGTCAACAACTTCCAAGAATGAAGTTAGTGAAAAATATGGCTGGCCCATGCCGAAAATATCTTACAGTGGTTTCACTGCAGTTCAGTGCTTCGTGCAGGGGCTTGAAATTAGTGGAGGTTGATCCCTGGAGACACCAGCCGGTACTTGGTGGCCATATGAAAATCCTGTCAGATCTGACCTAGCTGTAAATCACTGCTTTCCTCTTGCATGTGGCCTGCAGAGCCTGTCTGAAATGCAGATGTTGTCTTTGCTGAAGACTTGCCTGGTGCAGAGCATGCTGGTGCCACAGGAGCTCAGCCCCAAGTATGAGCAGAGGGCAGAGAACTGACTGTGCCCTGCTCTCCCTCACACTGTGCCACCCAGAGTTGGATGTAGCCTTAAACAGCACTGAAGGGAAGGAGGAGGAGGAGGAGGAGAAAAATAATGGCTCAAAACAGGACCTACAGGACAGCATCCAGGGACAGGCAGGGAGGGATATGCAGAGGCAACACGGCCAGAGACAGAG